CTCCCTCCAGTTTCTTAAATGCCTTATTCCTTCTCTTTCCTCCCATTGTGGTTTTTGAAAGCCTCCGAAGTTGGACTCTGATCTGGCCTTTGGAGAAGGCCTGTGATGGACTGTGTTCTAGGCATCAAAAAATGGCTTGACACAGCGTAGCCTTCATAGAGCTGCTTGGATGAAGTCCTGGATGCCTGGAGCTGAGGGGAAGTGGGCTGACCCAGTTTTCATTAGGACTGCTTGGTCCTGCTTTAGTTTCTGCTCCAAAGTGAGAACAAACTTGCTTTTTAAAACTCCTCAGAGCCTCTCATGTTGACTGGTGTTTACATCAAAGCCAGAGTCTTGGGTTAATCTGGGAACAGATTGTCGTTGTTGTTGTTGTTGTTGTTGTTGTGTACCATCAAGTCAGAACCCACCCCTAGCTGATCCTCTGGCAGTAAATCTCACAGGAGGAGATTGCCCATCTTTCTCCTGCAGAGCAATTGATAGATTTGAATCATGTACCTTTGCATCCACAGTGCAGTTCTTTGACACTAATGCCACCAAAGCTCCCTATCCTAGGAACAGATAGGATCCCCCTAATTCCTTGGATAAATATGGGATCTGCTCCCTGGCCTTCCAGGTTAGGATCTCAGGTGGGCCACTTGAAACCTCCTCTGCCTCTTAAATTCTCTGCAACTGGTTTGGTTGGGGGATTTTGGTCTTGTTTCAAGGTCCTAGGAATCCAATCAATCCTAAAGGCCATGTCTGGATGCAATTTGGGTGGTAGTGGGGCCTTGTGGGAGAGATCACTATTTCTTGAGGCACCTGCAGCCCTCTTCTCTTTGTTTAGCCTAGGTGATCGAGGCACAGCTGCCTGTTCAGATACGTTCTGTAGAGTGCCCCTAGAAATCTCACTTCTCGAAAATGAATCGGCCTGTAAGCATTTCAGATTTTCTAAACAGATGAAAGGAATCTGAAATTAGAGTATCAAGGAGTCCAGGTGGCACAGTGGTTAAATAATTCCACTGCTAACCAAAAGTCAGCAGTTCTAACTTATCAGCTGCTTCTAGAGAGAAAGATAAAGCAGTCTGCCTAAATAAACATTTACTGCCTTGAAAAATCTATGAGCAATCCTGCACATCCTACAGAGTTGCTATGAGTCAAAATCAACTCACTGGCAGTGGGTTTGGTTTGGGGTATAACATCAATAGTAGTCCTCATGACACAGTGGTTAGGTGCTCGGATGCTAACCAAAATGTTGGAAGTCCAAATCCACCACCCTTTGTATGGGAGAAAGACATGTCATTGGTGACGACAGCCTCCGAAACCTTACGGGACAGTTCTACTCTGTCCTGTAAAGTCACTTTCAGTTGAAATTTACTCAGCGGCAATGAATTCGCCTTCATTTGAATAGCACTGAAAGGAGGCCTGGTGGCCAGGTGGTTAAAGTGTTTGACTGCAAAAGATGGCTGTGCCCACGCCAGGTAAGCAGAGGTTGTCTCACACCCTGGTGTAGCTGAGGAAAACCAGTGGAGTCACCCACTGTTGAGAGAAGGGAGGAATATAAGGCTCCAAGATGAAAAATCATGAACCAGATGATACAATCAAGGAAAGCATAATACCTACTGATATTGTAACCAGAAAACTTAACCAACTTCCAGAAGTAGGAAAGAATCTACTTGAACATGGATCAACATGTATTGGACTTAATGCTGCTCTCTGTGGCCTAGTCACAGTCTTTTTTGACACATCTTAAATGTGACAGGCTCGGATAGTTGCTGGCTTACCAATGGTAGTTATTCCATTTATGACAGCACATTTAGCTGACAGGGATTTTGTAAGCTTATGTTTGAGTGCAGGTGATCTGAGCTGTGGAACTTGTACTGTAACACAAAGTAGACTGGTTGGTCCTGTTTTTTGGAGGTCTTCACCCTCTTGTCTTGGCTATACCTGTGAATGGTGGCCTAGCACCCAGGTATACGTCAGCCTTGCTACCAGAGAAAGGCAGCATCTTAACTTACTGGATCAGGATTTCTAAACCAAAGATGCTTTCCTCCTTTTTGCTTCAGACTGCATTTGTAGCTTATCTTGGGTCTAGGCAATATAAGTGACTCATCAAAGCCCTTCACTCACCTGCACCTGACCTAGAAACTTTCAAGACTATTTAGAATCTTAGAAGCAAGTATATATACAAAAATAAAATGGTTTTTATAACATGTTTTTAAAAAGTTCTTGGCTGCTAACTGAAAAGTCAGTGTTCCAGACCCACTAGCCATTCTTTGGGAGAAAGATGTGGCAGGCTGCTTCTGTAAAGATTGCAGACTTGGAAACTGCATGGGACAGTTACTCTCCATCCTACACAGTCATGCGGGCTGGGAATTGACTCCACAGCAGTGAGTTTTCTGTGCTGGAGAACATCCACGCCTGTCCCTACAGCCTGATGAGGAATGAGAAAGAATTGAGGACACTGTGGTTGTAGACAAGAACTGAAGAGGTATAAAGAACTGCAGGAGGTAAAGAACACAGGGATGGTTCCAGTCATGGCAGAGCCTACAACTGCATTAACCAATTGGAACCGAGTTCCACTCGCCCCACCACCACCCACAATGCAAACCCACAAATGAGTGACCAGTGTAGGTGCGCAGAGCAGTCACCATGAGGACATGATGGGACTCTGCTATGGCCTCCTGTTTGACAGTGCCCTATTTAGACTTACTACATGGGCAATCTCTTCTCATGTGATTTACTGTTTCTGAAAACCCACTAGATGGTTAGGTATGCATCTGTTCTGACTTACCGACACATAACAAAACAATTTCTTTTTTGTCCCAAACACTGTTTTGTCTATGTAATTATAACAATAATTCTTGCAAGCCTAGAAAGAAAAGGAAAGCAGAGATAAAAAGTGCTAGAAGTTCAGCAGCCTCTCATGGAAGGCAGATGTCCCAGGGACCATCCTTTTTGCATGAAGGTAAAAACTAGGGACGCCCTCAGCTTTGCTCAACTTCGCTGCTCCATGGCTTCCCTCCAGTGAGATTTCCACTGTTTCTTCCTTTGTTCACCTTAGAAACGTATTTAACAGGTTCTACCAAACCTCCTCTTTCCTGAACCAACTTTGAGAAACAACTAGAATGTTCCTTAGAAGGGAAGATGGCAAGACTTTTGGTTGTTTACTTTTGACAAGTCATCAGGAAAGACTGATTGTCAGAAGAGGGCATAGTGGTTGGTAAAGGAGAGAGGGCCAACCAGAGCAAAGGAAACCTCCAATGAGATGGATCAGCTTAACAGCTGCAACAATGATATCCAACATCCAACACAGTGTAGGTCTAGGCCACGTCTCTCCCTGTTACACACAGAATCATGAGTCTGAACAGATGTGACACCAATTTCATTTACAACCAAATGAACTAGTTACCGACTTCTGATTCTTGTTTCAAATTCTCAGCAGAAAGAAGTGGTCGACCACTTTCTAGACAAAGGATTTACTATCTTTTCCATTAGATGCTAGAAGTTTAGGGGCTCTGGTGGCCTACTCTGTAGGAAGTTGTGCTGCCAACCCAAAGGCCAGCAGTTTGAATACACTAGCAGATCTGTGGGAGAAAGATGGACAACCTCCTCTTGTGGAACTTACAGCCTCTGAAAACATGCTAGAGGGTCAGCTGTGAGTCAGTTCTGACTAGATGGCAATGCATTTTTAAGTTTGAGGAATTACAGAGAAACTTGCCACTTGAGTCCCGGCAGGTACAATAAAAAAGGAGAGCATTTTCTCTGAGAATTAGTCAACATATCTCTGCAGGGTGAGAGAAGGGACAGGCAACTCTAAAAAAAAACAGGCTCTACACAAATCTCATTGGCATCTTGGCTTCATTCTTGTCAAGACAGCCCAAATTCTCACTGTGTAAGCATCTCCTTTGAAAGAGGGACTTAGGGCCTGGGTGTGGTATGAGCAGGTAGTTTGGGTGCAGTGAGCCAGGGGAGTATAGAAGACCAGGACCAGGAAGTGTTTGGTTGGGTGGAGATGGAGGGAATAAAGCTCAACATCTAAAACAGGGAAATGACATTTCACTGCCAAGTCCAATGGTTAAGGACAGAGTGGAAAAATCAAACACAGAGCCAAGGTGAGGAGACAGCCAGACTGGAAAATGGCAGCAAGCCAGAGAACAAGACCAAGCCAGGCATGGCAGGTGCTGAGAATGAGCCGTCACCAACTCTCATACAGAAGTATCACAACAAGGAAGACAGGGCCTGGCTTTAAATAGCATCCTCCATCTGTACACAAGACAGTGTGTATTTTTCTGATACTGTTCAAAGGTATGACACCTCCAAAAGGGTTATTTTAAGGTATTAAATTATAAGCAAGGTATAGTCATGCAAGCAAAGACTATTACTGCTGACGCTACCTAGTCCAGGGACAGGCCTTTAATAACTAAATAATCTCATGCACCCTCCAGAAGGACAGAATACCCCTACTTCGAGCACCCCAGATGTTGGCTACCCCGCAGCTGTCATCTGAGCCAATTTCTCCGGCAGCTCCAGAGCGCCCAGTACCAGGCCTGGAAAATAATGAGCTTGACAAAGTATGGAGGATGAACAGACTTGCACAGGGATGGACTGTGATTTTTGTCCAAGGGAGGATCTACAGATGCAGCTCAAACGGAGATCTCGACTGGTTAGGATATTAACGTGAAGTGTGCCTGCTTTTTACTGGGGTAGAAATGCATCCCTGCCCCACTGTCATACGGTATTATTAGAATTTCTGAAATGGGTGCAGAGAGCATCCAACTGATACTGCAGCCTTTGTTCAGGATCAGCATGACCGTGGAACAGCGCCCCCAAGTGGCAGGATTTGGATTAAGGCTGAACGTCCGTCACAGTCATCAAGAAGCTCCGCCCATCGCCCGCCCTCCACGAGGCCACGGCGCGTCTCGGTGACGTCACGCGCATGTCGACGTTAACGCTCTGCGAGCCCGGAAGAGGCGCGGTGCGGGCAGGGAGCTTCTCGGCTCTGCTTTAGCGCCTCCGTCTCCATGGCGCTGTGGCGCGGTTCTGTGTGCGCGGGCTTCCTGGCGTTGGCTGTGGGCTGCGTCTTCCTGCTGGAGCCCGATCTGCCAGGCTCGGCGCTAAGCACCCTGTGGAGCTCGCTGAGACTGGGGCCCGTGCCCGCGCTCCCGGGACCCGCCTCCCCCGAGGGTCGGCTGGCGGCCGCCTGGGACGCACTCATCGTGCGGCCGGCCCGGCGCTGGCGCCGCGTGGCCGTGGGGTGAGTGCCTGCGGGTCGGTGTCCTCCCCGGGAGATGCAGTGTTCCGGTTTGGCAGCTTGGGAACTAGATTCTCCGTGGGTACAGATTTGCAGAAGTCTCCTGTAGGTTCCTCCACGCTGCTGTCCGCCCTGCCTCCTTGGCCAGACGCGGCGGATGTCGCGGATCCCCGGTGGTCACTGCTGCATTTTTCCATTCACCTGACTCCCTGCACACTCTCACTTATCAGTAAAAACAGCCTTAAACTCTTTCAGATCTCCTTGAGGTCTAGCCGGCTTTCTGCATCTCGGGTAACTGTCTTTTTGAGTCACAGATGCTTGGTCTTACCCACCTTGACAGCACTCCGTTTACTTCTGAACTTCTTGAAGATGAGTGGTTTGTGTTTTGTCTTAGTAAGCCTTGTTTATCTTTCTTAACGCAAATAACTACCCCTCTACTGAAACTCCACGCAAGCTCATTGGTAATTCACGACTTTTCTGATTCAGCTGCATGTTTAATTTTCCAGCCTTCATTCAGCTCTCTGCAGTTTTCTGTGTGTTGAACACACCCTTTTCCTTGAAACTCTTGTTCTTTTGACTTAGTGACATTGCATATTTAAAGAGCTTCCAAATCTCAATGCCACTTTCCTTTGTACTTCTCTCTGAAAATATAGTTATTCCCCTCAAACCAATCCCAGTTTCTCTCTTAGCTCTGTCGGTGTGTCTTACCGTCACCCTTGAAGGCACCATATCCAAAAGCTCTCAGCCATTTAAGTATTTGGGATAGGGGGACAGGGAAGGTGGGTGAGGTGAAGTAGATCAAAGTTACCTTGAAGATCATTTGTTTTTACGCAACATGGTGTCAGTTTTGTAAAAAGCATTCAAAGGCCAGCTTGTATTTTTTATACTAGAACACTTATTCATTCTTCACATGTCTCTCTTTTGACCTCCTCTTTCAAGTTTAGGCCCTTTTCACCTAGTTACATATATGCTTCTTTATGTCTTCCTTTGTTTTATATTCATACATTCAGTCACTTCAACAGCGTGGTATGTGTCAGTTCTGTAGTAGGGTCTGAGGATACAGAAATGGTTGACTCAAGATGCCTGCCTCATTATTGAAAGCAAATGGAAAGTGCTTTGCTGAATTGATGGTGAGAAAACAGTAGCCCTGATATCCAAAAGAAGGCTGACTCATGCTTCCCAGGATGGGGGGGTGTTAGAAGAAAGCCATCTGGAGCAGTGACACATCATTTACTATTACTTACTGCATAACAAATCACCCTGAAATTGGTAACTTCAAACAATAGTTGTTCTCTCGTATGGCTTTGAGGTTTGATTGGGTTGGGCTAATCAGTTTTCACAAAGTTATACTTCTTGGGTGATGGCTGTAACTTGTGATCTTAAAGGTTCATTGTGGCTTTCCAAAAGAACTCTAACTAAGCTATTAACTTTCTTACAACACAGTGACTGGGGTAGGAGAAAGAATGTCCCAAGAGTCAGATAGAAGCTTTAATGCCTTTTATCACCCAGCCTGAAAGCACAGTTACCCTAATTACAAGTACACCTGCTTTTAAGAGGAAGGGGCATAAAACACATCTTGATGGGATAATGTCAGTATTATATTGTTAAAATAGCATATGAGCAGAGAGATCTTGGCTCCTTTTATATTCCATCAAAATGGCTTATGTGGGACAGGCCCTAGAGAAGAATTGGGCCTTCTCCAAACAGACCTAGGGCAGAGGGAGCCAAATCTGAGAAAGCATCAAGCTTTTTGGGAAACAGCAAATCATCCCTATGTTTAGGGCAAGTACCTTAGAGTATGTCTAGAGATGAGCTGAAAAAGGAGAGGTAAGCTAGATTGTGAAGGACCTTTCATATCAGGACGAGTAATGGAGAAGCCATAAAAGTTTATAAGCAGGTAAATGATGCTAAGCTATTTGCTAAGATGTAATGGAAGCTGAAAGGTGAATTTTTGAGTAGTGTGCTACTGCTTCACATCATTTTGGGTAACATGCTTCTTCTGGTCACATTTCTCATTCCCTAAAGGGATTTTTCATCTAAAGATAGGGATAACTTGGGAATAGGTGCAGAACATGTGTCAGAATCTTAATTTGAAGATGTGATTTCGCTCTTTAGAAGAAGGCACATTCCCCTTAGATATGTATGTTGTGGTTATGTGCTGTCGAGTCAGAAATTACTCATAGCTGACTCTCCAGAGGGTTTTCACAGGCTGTAAATCACACAGGAGATTGCTTATCTTTCTCCTAAGGAGCAGCTAGTGGATTCTAACTGCCTGCCCTTTGGTTGGCAGTGCAGCTCTAAGCACTAAGCTACCAGATTTCAGATAGATAGATAGATACATAGACAGACAGACAAACAGATATATATTATTCTTTCACTTTCTCAGATATGGAGAAAAATCTTGAGACCCTGACGCTGTGTAGGACACCATTGTAGAGTCTAAGAAACAGCAGCAAACAGAGGTGAGATTTGAGAGATAATTGGCAGTCTGATGTCAGTGAATAAGGAGAACATCAAATGATGATCTTTTAAAAACTGCAGTAGTCACATGGATAGGTATCATCAGTTTTACAGACGGCGAAGGAGAAGAAGACCTTCGATGAGATGGATCGATTCTGTGACAGGAGCGGTGGGAATAAGTGCGTTTGAGATGGCTAGGTTGGCACAGGATAGAAGAGCGTCTAGAGCTCTTGTACATAGGGTTGCTATGAGTCGCAAATGACTCGATGGCACATAACAACAACAAACTCAGACTTGGAAACAGTAACTTTCTCCACATCACACAGCTGTCAGATGCTAGAGGTGCAGCTTGAACCCATTCCCTCTATTCATAATACAGTTGTGCCATAAAGCAAGAGGAAGATAATCAGTTTGATTCCAGAGGAGGAAGAGTGTATGTATATTCTTGTGAGATCTCAAGTGAAGCTCTTCCTTAAGCTTTTGAAAATGAGAGGCTGGTGCTTAGGAGCATGTTTGAAAGCAGCATTGCAAATATTTGGAGGTGTTAGCACTTAGATTGAAGCCAAAGAATAAATAGAATTTCCCTTGGAAAAAAAAACAAGCAGAGAAGGTAAAAATGGCGAAGGTTGAACTCCAAAGAGGTACCATCATTTAAGGAGCTGATAGAAAAGAGATCAAAGACATAAGCAATGAGTGAAAAGAGGTTTAAGGAACTGCTTCTTGATGAGCCTGCTCCCCTGCTTCAAATCAGCCACAGTACCTTTTGTTCATTGGTTAAACTCCGTCATCCTTATGTCCATTTTTCCTATAACTGGCTTCACCCTGACCTTTGAAAACTATCTTACCTTCCCCTTCCCTCCCCCAGTCAAATTCCCTGATCTCCATTCTTACCATGTCTAAATCTTTAAGTCCATCTCCTTGCTTGGACTTGAGTGACCTTGCTTTACCTCCACTAAGGTAAATTCGGATTTGAATTTAGGTTCCTCCAACGTGGCATTTATAATATTGGTTGATCACTTCTCCGCTGAAAGCAATGGTGAAAGTGAAACTAGAGTGCTCCTTAGAGGCATGGATGGCGAAACTTCGTCTCATACTTAGCCATGATGGTAGGAGAGGCTAGTCCTTGAAAGGGACATCATACTTAGAATAGTATAGAATCAGCAAAAGAGAGGAAGACACACCCCCCCCAATAAGATGAACTGACTCAGTGACAACAGCCGTGAGCTCTAGTATTTCAGAGATGAAGACGATGGCACAGGATGGCAGGGTTCGGTGCCATTATTCTCATAGGAGAAGTCATACTTGATGGTACCTGACAACAACTAAACAACATCTTTGGATAATAGGAGCTCAACTCATTGCTGTTGAGTCAAAACCAGCTCCTAGCTGACCCTCCAGTAGATTTTTAAGAGGCTGTAAATGTCACAGGAGAAGATTGCCCATCTTTGTCCTACAGAGCATAAGGTAGATTCAAACTACATGCATTTAAGTTGACAACACAGCTCCTTACCATTTGGACCACGACAGCACCCTTTTTAAACAGTGAAGTTTTAGAAAATAGCACAGTTGTTGATGTCTAGCACATAGTAGATGTCCAGTTACTTGTTTCTTGTAAAATGGTTATGATTTTCCTGTTTATTTTAAAAATTTTTAAAGTTACTTGTTTCTTGTAAAATGGTTATGATTTTCTTGTTTATTTTAAAAATTTTTAAAGTTATCATTGTCCACTGTAAGATTGTTTTCCCCTAATATTCATGATGACATTAGGTAGGGATTTAACATGTTCCTATTTTCAGTGGATAAGATACCTTGTTATGTACCATCCAGTCAGAACTGACCCATAGTTGACCCTTCAGTGGGTTTTCAGAGGTGATTAATTGCCTGGGAGGAGATTGTCCGTCCTTCTTCCTTGGATAATATATACCTCTAAATATTTCATTTTTGTTGGCAGACATCAATTCTGTGGTTTCTTTATGTACAGTTCCGTGACATTGGTTACATTCTCACCCTCCTCTGAATTGTTCCTCTTCCATTAACATAGACTCACTGACACTCGGGATTCTTACCTGATCCTTCAAGTTGCTGTTGTCAGTTTGATCTCATAGAGATCTTAATAGAACATAATGCTCGAGGCAGACATCCTTTTACAAGAATCTTTGTCTTCTTGATGTTGAGATGTAATCCATACTGAAGGCTGTGGTCCTTAATCTTCTACAGCGTTTCATAGCCTCCTCACTTTCAGCAAGCAAAGTTCTGTCATCAGCATAATGTAGGTGGTTCATGAGTCTTCCTCTAATCCTGTGCCACTCTCTTCTTAATAGAGACCAACTTCACGAATTATTTGCTCAACATAAGAATTGAATAGGTATGGGAGAAAGGCTCCAACCCTGACTCATACATACCATTCCTGTTCCCTTGCTCTGTTCACACAACAGCTTCTGGTCTAGATACAGATGCCATATGAGCACAATTAAATGTTCTGAGATTCTCAATGTGAGCCATAATTTTGTTATGATCAATGCAGTCAGATACCTTCACATAGTCAGTTAAACACAGATACACATTCATCTGGTATTCTCTGCTTTCAGCCAGGATCTTTCTGACATCAGTGATATCCCTGGTGCCATGGCGTCTTCTAAAACCAGCATGTACTTCTGGTAGTTCCCTGTCCAGTACTGTTCTAGCTGGTTTTGAATACATGAGATATTAATGATAATATTTGATAGTTTCCACATTCTGTTACATCACTTTTCTTAGGAATGGGGCAAATAAAGATCTCTTCTAGTCAGTTGGCCAAGTAGCTATCCTCTACATCTCCTGGCATAAACTTGTGAGCACATCCAGGCCTGCATCTGTTAGTTCAAACATGTCAGGTAGTCTATCGATTCCTGGGACCTTATTTTTTACCAATGCCTTAAGTGCTGCTTGAGCTTCTTCTTTCATCACCATTGCCTCTTGTTCATATGATACTTCCTGAATCAAATCAGGTATCTCACTATCTGAACTTTCACTATCCAGACCCAAGAAACAAATCTGTTTAGATACCTTTTCTACATAAGGCTGCTGGGAGGAATTTGTATTGACTTATCCAAGTCTCTCAGAAACTGACAAACCAATGAGTCAGCAAACCATGGATACCTGCATTTCTGTTGAGACTCTGCTCCTCAGACATTATGTGCATTCATTGAAAATAAAGGGCTTTCAGGATGAGGCATGATTGAGACCAATGTACAAGTTTTATGGGCTGTGAAAGAAACATTTTCAATCTTTCTTTGAGTTCCTGCCACATGCATAGCAATGTGTTTTGACAGAGAATTCATTGGCTCGTGCCCTTGTAGTTGACCAGAATAACGAGGCAAAGGTGAGAGAATCAATACTCTTAACTTGATGCCTCTTGAAATCCTAAGAGATGATGGAGTTACAAAATGGGTTGTTGTTTCAGAAAACCTCTTGAAGTAATGCCGTTACCTACAGCAGGACCACAAAGGCTGACCAGTATATGGGAATTCTCTGCTCTGAGATGGAATTCTGTTTAATTTGCGTCTTTATTCGACAGTGACTAGGTCCATTTTGTCAACTTTGTCAATTATACATGTGCTTGTTTTTGAAATAAAAAAATTTGAGTCTTTAAATGCAGTTCAGTATACAAAAATCTTTAAAAACATCGGCTCTCTAGAAAAATAGTAAGAATATCCTTACAACAAAGATGTAGTTGGTCTGTATCCTGAGGATAAATGTGTCCTTGTAAACCTTGAGTGATGAAGTAATACCTACCAACTCCCCTTTTTTAATTATGTTGTAAGAGTTTTGAAAGGGACTTATAAAAACTAGAAATACATCTAATAAAAAGTAAACAGTCCTCCCTCCCCTAGACTTCTTTGCTCTTCTCAGATTTGCCACAATTAATGGTTTGGTTTTTCAGTTCCAGGCCAAGGAATTTTGTTCAGGGAACCATGTATTTTACATGAAAATCTGTCAGGCCCATTTGATGGATGAGCTTCCTAACTGGTTTTAAAGTTGCTGTTCCCCATTAGTCAGCTAACGTGGCCAGCCTGCTCTGAGCCTTGCTCACAGGCTGGGAGCTGCCAATGTGATCACCAAGAATAACATCCCAGTGCAGACGTAGGAGTAAAGGTAACTGGCAGAGGGCAGAAGACCCCCATCTCTTGTTGATACTGTGTGCCATCGTAACCAACTTGCTGACCCCCCAGCAAGTTTTCAGAGGTTGTAAATCATAGGGGATATTGCCCATCATTCTCCCTCGGAACAGCTGGTGAATTTGAACCACCTAGATTCATCCTGGAGAGGGTTAAACCAGGCTACTCCTTGGAGGCAAGGATTCTGGGGCTTCGTCTGACATACTTTGGACATGTTGTAAGGAGAGACATCATGCTTGGTACGTTGGAGGGACATCGGGATGGGTGTGTCAGAGGCAATGCGATTGGCACAGGATAGAGCAGGGTTTAGGGCTGTTGTACATAGGGTCGCTCTGAGTTGCAAACGACTCGACGGCACATAACAACAGTGCATCTCTATCTAGCAAAGAAATATTGAAAATATAAACAAGATTTTTTTTCAATGCATACATAGCGACAATGCCAGACACCCTTAGTACTTTATAACTTCCAGCCTCAACCAGACTGCCATTGTGTTAAGTCCAACCCCTAGTGATGCTGGAAAGTAAGAGTAGACGGTTCCATTGGGTCTCCAAGGCTGTAAATCTTAAAAGAGATCAGTCTGCCTCATCTTTGTCCAGAGAGCAGTTGGTGAGTTCAAGCCACCAATCTTTCTTTTAGCAGCCTGACTCCCTGTGCTCCCTGGAAACCTTAATAACTGCCTGACCCACCTCCACTTCCGAGGCTAGAAATCTCTGTGAGAGGAGACTGTCGGTCTTCCTCCTGCAGAGCAGCCGGCGGATTCAAACTGCTGGCCTTTCAGTCAATAGCCAAATTAGTTACACACTACACCACTAAGGCTCCTTTTATAAAAACTTCCTTGATCTCCAAGTTCAGTTCATTAAATTGGAACCATTTCATAACCAGTTCCTTTATCAGGTTTTGTGGGGGCTGAAATTTGCACAGGAGGATCTTCCCGGGCACGGCATTAGGTGGATTTGAGCCACCAGATTGGTGCCCCTTATAGGTTAGCTGTTTTCCTTCCTACTAACAACGCCACCAGAGCTCCATAACTTCCTTACAGCTGACAGAAATGATGCAGCGTTCGCTTCACATTAGCGCCTTCGTTCATGCATCAGAACAGTGAACACTTGCCAAGTTAAGACATCATTAGAAGGCCACAGGTGTGTCTTTACTGCTCACCTCAAAAATGCAAGATTTCAATTGAGAGTAAAATTTAGGCCTTTTAGCTACCTATCTTCTGGAAGCAGAAGCAGCATCCACTTCCGAAATGGCTCAGGCTGTTTGTTCATAGGGTCGCTATGAGTCTTCTACGACTCAACGGCATTAAACAACACCTACCTATCTTACCGCTGTCCTGATTTATCTTTGTAAGTCTCTGCTCTTTGGCTTTTGTCCATCATTTAGACTTATTCTACATCACGCTTAGTTCTAAGCACATATTGACGTCTTTAATCTTCACAACTCAACTCCTATCCCTTTTTCAATAGATGTGAAATGGACACAGAGACACAGTAAATCCAAATGGTGAGCGTCTACCAGCATTTTCTCTGTGTGCTTGTGCTTTCATTGGCAGGTCTGTTTTGAACTACTGAGCACCTGTCCTTTCACCTGTCTTCTTTCTTTAAAATTAGTGTAGAAGTTTGCCAAACTAGTGGAAAGATTCCTGTCTGTGTTCTGATCCCAAGACACATGTTCAGATACAGTAAGCTCCCTCTGCTCTTTACTTTTAGTCCAGGTTTCACCTCCATCTCACTTGTTTTCTCTTTTTGAACACAGTGCTGAGAGACACTTTACTGTTGTTGGAAGCAGACCAGCCACCCAGTGCTCTCTGCTCCTTGCTAACACTGTCTCTGCCCCTTCCTCCTAAGGGTCAACGCCTGCGTAGACGTGGTACTTTCAGGAGTGAAGCTCTTGAAGGCACTGGGCCTGCATCCTGGGGACGCGAAAGACCACGCCATCCTGCATTCAAAGAACGATCTAAAAGAAGCCTTCGTCCACTTCATGGGGAAGGGAGCGGCTGCTGAGCGCTTCTTCAGCAATAAAGAGGATTTTCATGACATTGCCCAGATTGCATCTGAGTTCCCAGAAGCCCAGGTCTGTTCACCAGCCCAGGCAGTGCCCAGGTTACGAACATCCTACTTAGAGACCGCTCCTGCTTACCCTTAATGTTAGGTGAATTTGTACTCTTTGAAACAACTGAGCCAACTGCGCTTAGACAAACCCTTCCTTATAATCACCTTCAATTGTCTGTGCAACTTTTAAATAACTGAAAAAACTGAACTTTTTTTTTAACCAAAGGCCAAATAAGAACAGTTTGCACCTGTTCCAACTTACCTGCAGTTTCAACTTAAAGACCCACTTGGGAACAGATTTCCTTCTTATACTCAAAACTGCCTGAAGGAGGTTAAGACAGACTATGAAAAGATGTTTTTCACCATATGGTTCCTAGAAGCAGCTAAGTAACTTTTCCTTTCCTGTTGGAGAACAAGGCCAAACTCACCAGAGTTTGTATACATAGCTGTGGCCTTTGCATAGCAAACAAAGAGCCTATCCTCTCCTTGTCCTGTTAGTCCACAACAGGGATTTTTTTTTCTTTTCCCCACAAGGGCACTGTTGATGCTTTTAGCTGGCTAGTTCTATGTTGTAAGAGCTACCTTGTACATTGCAGGATGTTGAGCAACATCCCTGTCTTTACCCAATAGATGCCAGTAGCAGCCTCTTCTCTAGCAGTTGTGACAGTTAAAAATGTCTTCAGATATTGTCAAATATTTCTGAGAGGCAGGAGAAGGGAATTAAACCAGCAGTCTAGGTCACTGGTTCTTAAACTTGAGAATGTTTAGGTGTTGTTGAAACATAGATTGCTGTGTCTCATACCAGGAGTTTCTGATATGTCAGATGGCACACAAGAATTTACCTGACAAGTTTCTTGGCAACATTAATGCAGTTGGTCTAAGGATCTCACTTGGAGAGAACTATTGGTCTACAGGATAGAAATTTTCAAAACTTGAAAGAACCCTAGGTATTCCCAAACATGGTGACCACAGAGCACTGAGGCCAGCCAGGTCTGGGCGAGCTGGGTCCAGGCTTCCCAGGGGGCCCACGTGGAATAGGAAGCAGGCTGGCTATGGCTCTACAGCACACCCGCTGCACCAGAATCCCTCACACAGCTTGAGAAGAGCTCCAGCTGGTTTCACCAGCTTGTCCTGCTCACCTACATCCTAGCTTTGGCCCATCACCCTAGTCTGAGCCTGTGTTTCTATCAGAAACACTCATCATGCCATCTGCTGTTGGTCAATAAGCAGCAAACTTTTGTCACTTTGTTTATTTTGATAACTTTTTAGAATTCAAGTATTAGATTTCTTTTTCCTTTAGCTGCCCATTTGAACTTTAGAAATAAGCACAAGTATTACCCACCCTGGTTTCTAAATTGAATGGAAGATGTTAAAAATTCATTCACAGTCCGTCAGTGTTACATCCAGACTCGGTAATGAGAGGCTGAACTCTCAGAGACAATCTTGGTGGTTCTGAATGACAATCTGCTGCATCAAAGTCCATATGATCATGATGCTTTAACCATTAGTATTTTGGCAGATTTTTCTGGCCTTTATAGTTCAATAAAGTATGAATTTGTGCTACCATGTTGAAAGACCAAATTTTGGCTTGTCATGAAAATTTTTATTTATTTCTAGAAAGCTGTAGTTAATACTCTCAAACCAGAGATTGTTCCACATATACATTGGGGTGAAAATGATGTCTCTAGAATTGCTTGATTGCTGGTCTGTAGCTCTTCATGGGACTAAGAACTAGAGAGAACCAAGGCAATATTGATTAAGCATCTCAGCTTTTGTGATCAGACAGCAAATTGATTTCCTACTTGTCAGATTTCCAAAGCTCCTGAGTTCCTCCTTATGTAGCAGCATAGATTACCAACCTGGGATTCTCTGTTCTCCAGTTTCCAGCTAGTCCTCACCTAAGATGTACAATGTTTAGGAGAATTATTTCGAGGATCTTTTCATATTGTAATTGTTACAAACTTTACCTTGGCATTAAATTCAACCTCTGAAAAGTCTCATACATATTATTACTAATATGAGAGAAATAGTGAACCAATAGCTAATGTTATGAAATTGCCAGAGTGTTTCTATAAACCTGTTGAGAATGTTGTCCTATATCAGAGCCTCTTTCTTCTAAATTTATTCCTAGGAATACTGTTTCCCAAAGAATCAGTGTATCTTCCTTTCTCAAAATTCAACAGCAAACATTTACTGAGCACTTCTCTAAGAAAAATAAGATCACCCCTACACTGAAGAAGCTCGTCATGTGCACAGATAACTAACTCAGGCAGAGAAGGGCTATATTAGAGGTGTGTTCTGGGTATAAAGGTGGGGTGTATAGTCTTGTTTAGGACAAGAGGCCTGTAGAAACGGAGTTAGCGGTGGGGAAAGGGAAACAGAAGGCTCTGGAGAAAATACTGGAGTTGATTCTTATTTTAATAATTTTTAAAATGTATGTATATTGGGAGACAGCTGATTCTAGAAAGTGATCAGTAGTTTAGTATGTGCTTGAGAGAGAGAGGGTATCCTTAATTAAAAAAAATACTATGTTTAAGGCAAAAAGAAGAAGGTTTACTCAGCTCCAGGTAGGACGTGGAAAGGAAAGGCAACGGCTGTGAGCAGAAAGGTCTCCAGGGCCAGATATTGAAAAGCTTTTCATACCTCACATAAGAGTTCAGTTTCATTCATTAGAGTATCCACTGACTGGTGTTCAGGAGAGTGACATGTGTATACTCATTTTAGAAAGATAAAATGTGGAAGATAAGCTCTAAGCCACATTTTTTTGTGTTTGCTTTATTTGTCTTGGCTACCTGGGAAGTCAGAACCAAATTGGATCTGCAGTTAAGGAAGTTATACTGATCTTTGTGTTTAGCATATTTATTTTCTTGCCTTATCCATTTTAATTATTGTCTATATTATCCATATTTGCCTGTTTTTTGTTCTAAAATCACTTCAGAATTTCTTTTGTGGAAAGCATGGGATATAAATTAATCAAGTAACAACATTATACTTTAATACCATGCTTATGCTTAAATATTAGTAACTTTAAATTATCTTGCAGCACTATGTAGGAGGAAATGCAGCTTTAATTGGACAAAAATTTGCAACGAACTCAGATTTAAAGGTGGGTCAAATTCCTGGATTAAAACCTCTGTGTATTTCATTAGTGTTTCTACAGTCTTACGGGCAAGAATGCCTATTAGTGCTTTGATTCCACTAAAGGGCCACCTGCTGTGTGCTAGGCCTTAGGCTCTTGTTAAGAGGTAATAAACTGCCCAGATTCACAATGAGTAAGTAATAGAATGAGGATTCTAACCTTGGAAGTCTGGCATCACCTCCACCCCTGCCCATATTGTAAAGAGCTGTATACCATATAATGGTTGTGAGTTTGTGACCTCTGAAGTCAAGACTTGGAGCTTGGGAATTAGGCAAGGGATGAGAGAAAACATCATTGCGTTGGTGGGCCTGGATCCAGAATGCTAAAAAAGAAGGTCATTCGATGGGGATCAGTAGACAAGTGTCTTCAAATCTGTTTGGCTTAACTAGAAGTAAAAATCATTGCTTAATAAAGCATCAGACTAAGATTCTTTCAGTTTAATGGACTAAGTCTGGAAGGGAAGGGAGTTAGCACGATTATTGCCACTGTCCAACTGTGAAATTATTAAGGTTTAGAATAGAACAGCCATAAGAAGATATAAGGGGAAAGAGGGAAAGCTTTTTGGAGCTTCTTTGTGGGAAATATTAAATCAAATTTCATTGGGAAAGACACTGGTTTCCTTATATAGACATCATGTTGTTTGTCTCCAGGTTCTTCTCTGTGGTCCCATTGGTCCTAAACTGCATGAACTTCTTGATGACAATGTATTTGTTCCACCAGAATCATTGCAGGAAGTGGATGAGTTCCACCTCATTTTGGAGTATCAGGCAGGTAAGAGAGACAAAGTAAAGGCTGTAAGACTGGTCAACGAACTCTTGTCGTGGATTGAGATGGCTGTGGAAATTGTTTTGTTTTAAATTAGCAGGATCCTGCCCTTGCCATACCAAAAGGTTCCCAGAACAATTGGTTCTCCATCCTGGCTGTTGTCTCAGTGAACAGAAAAGCTTTGGTGGCTTAATGATAAAGAATTAGGCTCCCAACACAAAGGTATGCGGTTTGAATCCACCAGTTGCTCCACAGGAGAAAGATGGGCAGTCTCCTCCTATGTGATTTATTACACACCAAAGAAAATTCCCAGATCTGCAGACAAAACTGGTCTGAACCCAGGATAAACCAGACAAGAGATGTTTTGATAAAAATAGAAAATGTGTTAAGCACACATGACTGAAGTTTTGGTTTAATACTAAGAGAAGGGCAGGTAGCGGTCTGTTCGTGTCTCTGCTGGATTCTGCTCTAGGCCTTTCTGACCAACTGTGTAGGTTTCTGGATTGATTCCAAGCCTCTGGCAAGCTCCCTTTGAAGCATTTTTTTTTAGATGTGTGAGTGGAAGTGCTGGCTACTTACCATCACTTACATGGTTTCCCATCATAATATGTCCCAGTGTTTATAAATCCAAATCTGTCCAATCCCACCACCACTTAAGAAGTGGTACATCTTAATTATTACACAAACTAGAAGCCTGATTTCTGAGAGACTCTTAAATACCTTTCAGAAACATTTTTTTTTGTCTGTATATTTCCTGCAGTGTTTTTCTGTCTGCTTGGAACTCAGACTGTTGAGTTTCTAATTCAACACATTATTAGTTCAAGTTAAAGACTCAAGTATCTAAACAGACTTAATTGGTACCTCAAAGTAGTACTTACTTTAATAAGTTTCAGTTAGCTGCTTCCAAGTCAGACGGTTAAGGATCCTCACCTATTGGAGTCATTAACTCTAATTAAGATATGAAATACAGTGTTCTTTAAAATGATCCTGTCCTCCAAATATAAGTAAAAAATGCTTTGTTTTTACTTCTGATTCTGTTCTGAGTGCTTTTTAGAGTCAGATAGGAATTTAGGAAGAGCCAGATGTAAAAATTAGTAACAGAATGGTCAATTCACATTTATGATACACAAATTTCTCCTAGTTTAACCTCTCCAAATGGGAAGTAATAGTGGTATTTCTTACTCTCTGTGGATTGTGGTAAAGATTAAGAGGTCAGTGTGTTTAAGCATTTTAAAGACTTAAAATGACAAGTACAGACATGATAGGAGCAGTCGAACACGAGCCTCTAAAGAACTGCTGCCGCTCGTTCCAAATCTCTCCCCCTTCGCTTGGTGCCCACAGTGGGACCTGGCAGCCTTCACAGTCCTCTTGTCTGTCATTTTCCACGGTGACTTGAGTGGAGGCTTGTTTCTTGAACAAGACTCTGCCTTGTGTAGCTCAGAACTAGAAATAGCTTCTCTTAAAAGGAGAGTGTCTCTTTTTATTGTAAGCTTCACACTTGAGTTACTCTCTTCTGTGCTGTTTTTTTCTAGTCCAGCGCAGCAGTAGATCCCATACTAAACTGTGTGTGAAGTTCTGTTTTCCTCATATAGAACTGGCGTGGACTAGGCGGCAGTGGCACTTGAGTTGGCCTTCAATAGAAATCCACCCCATCTCCTCTCTAGCCAACTCGGGTAAATTCCCAGAGAGAATTTGTCAACTCTTTTTTTTCTCTCTCTCTCTTTTCTACCAGAGGGAAACCATTGAGTCACGGCAGAGAAGTTTTGCTGTTTCAATGGCTTGAGGACAGGATGATATACTGAGAGAAGCATTGCTTGCAGAAATAAATAAGACACTTTGTGAAAAAAGAGGCTCTTTAACTACAGTGCAAAGGCTCACCTCGATGGGGTGTTGGTGGTCCTGTCCTTTGAGCCCCTCCGACAGCCCCATGTCCTGAAAAAGGAGCCGGAAGCACTTCTCTGCATTCCTCATTGTCCTCGCCTTGTTGGAGTCTGTTTATTTTTGTATGTCATCTCTCCCCTGGTGAAATCAATTTATTCTGAATGCTGAGTGACTCTTTTCTCCTAGGCTAAGCTAGACGTTCTTTTCTTCAGCAGCTTCATTATTTAAGGGTCAATTCCAGGTCTTGCTCTATGGGGAATACTAATGCAAGCGTATTCTTCCTAGTGAACAGATTCTTGTTAATTTGAGAAATGCGGGATTTGGAGTCAAGGCCACGTTATTCATTGTCCCAGGCTTTCAGGTCATTAATCTGTTCTTTATATTCCCCTGTCCTTTTGCTAATTCATTTTCATTCATGTGGCTGTGTGCCAAGTGCAGGGTGAAGCAGTAGGAGTATGATGATGGAGGAGACCTGGTTCCTACACTCAGCTCAGCTCACAGTTTTTTGTGGGAGATAGACAATTGAACAAAGTCTTGCAAAATCATGTGCCGAGTCCTCTGATAGGGCACAGTCGTGGCCCAAGAAGGAAGTAATCAAGTCATTTTGAAGGTGGGAGAGCTAGGGAGACACTCACAGAGGGGACCACCCCTGAGATGACACAGAAGTGGAATACGCAGTCCGCTCCCTACAGCACCCTCAGATATTTGTCTTGGAAAAGTGCTAAGATAAGGATCAAGGTTTAAAAAAGAATATGGGATTTTAAAAAAATGCAAGCATCATGTCAGAGCTTAGGATAGGTAGCATGATTCCACCCTGCCCGGATTCATAGATTTTTATATGAGTAACTCATATATAAACTGCTTTCAAGAGGAGCAGTTCAATAAAGCTAGATTCATACAAAAGGACGATGGGTTCTTCCAGCTTCTTGGGCTGCTCTGGAATAAAACATACACACACACACTCACTCACTCACACTCATGCTCCCCACAGGCCCATTTCAGTATGGAGAAAGCAGGATGGTGCGTGCATTTGGCAGCACAAGGAGGAAATAATGCTCTGCCCTGACCTGACTGCCTTGGGAAGTAACAGTCACCAGTGTATCTGATGGAGACCAGTAGAAACTAGTCTGTGGTGTTTAAGTTTATAAGAGGGGAAAGCTAACTTGTAGGGAATCCTATGTAAGTCTACATCACCAGCCCTTGCAACTCCTTAACCCTGCTCTCCCCTTTTGAGCACCTCATACTGACAGGGACCTCCTTCACAAATTGCAGTATGCTTTAGCAGATCCAAAAAACCCTTACACAAGCTGTGTTTCAGTATTCCTGCCAAATCTTTATGGAGAAAAATAGGAGCTCCATATGGCAAAAACTCCTGAACACCAAGAAGTAACTTGGAGAGGACCCTGCCTGCCCTTGGCCTCCCTTTATTAGGACTCGCTGTGAAGCTCATCCTCTGTGATGCTTGGTGACCCTTGTGCACCTCAGTCATTCTCCACCTGCTGCACAGCCAGGGCTCAGAGAAGGAGCCACCTGCATGTTAAACACGGCTGAGGCATGGCCAGAAGTAGAAAAGCACTTGGACTCAGTTCTTAAGTCCAGTGAGCAAATTTGGAGTGCCTTCTGTGCAGGGGACTTCGACAGATGTTGTAGGAAGCATAGACATTGTCCCCCTTAAAGAGTGAGCAGTGTGTTTAGAGAGATGTGACACAGATGTGTAAAAAGTAATGGAAGTTTTGCGTACGACTTCAGGATAGCAAAAGAGCTTCAGCGTAAAATTACCAATTGCTCAGTCATTTAAGATAAAATCTCGAGTTGCTTGTGGAAGCAAATAGGCTCCTCAGGCTTGAGCATTCAGCAGCTACATCAGGTAGGGACTAGTGCTGGGACGCATCCGTTCCTCCAGAGCATGTCACACAACACGGCACAGACTCGGGTAGCCAGGGTCTCAGCCTTCTTTCTGGTTGAGGTGCCCAGAACTCTCCAGTGGGCATTAGCGGGGAGGAGGTGCAGTCAGCCTGCCTCTTGGAATTTCTGCCTGCTTCGATTCCAGCTGAGGAGCCCTGGTGGTCCAGGAGGTCAGATGTTGGGCTGCTAACCAAAAGACTGGCCATTTGGAACCCACCAGCCACTTCACAGGAAAAAATGAGCACGTCTCCTCCCATTAGGATTTATAGTCCCAGAAACCAGGAGGCGCCAGTGCTCCATGAGTCCACTTGACGATGTGGGTTCGGTTTAGGTGGGTTTCGATTCCAGCTGAAGGAAGGACTCAGCCACTGCTGTGAGGGGCAGGGGCTTTGAAAAGGGCCACGTGTGGCATTCATTGCTCACTGGCGTCTTAGTGGGGCTGCTGCTCTGTAACTGAAGGGGCAAGTGCATCCTGTGTTTGAGAGCTCAGAGGTCGCTCAGGACAGCTGAGTTGTCCGGGGACTTAAGTGAAATGAGTTCCCAGCCCTTGAGAAGAGGCCTCTAGGGCTGTTTCTGGCTTGGTTTGGGTTTTGTTCATTGATTTGTTTACTGGCCTCTTTCCTCTCAGATGCAGCACTCATGCTTACCATAGACAATTGTGGCCAGGCTCCATGCATCCACAGGCCAACTTGCTTCAGGCCAAGTCACCACTGAGGCACCCGCCAGGCACCACACAGCAAGGATATTTAAAGCCTCTTCCTTTTCTTCCCGTTGTGTTGATTGGGCTTTTCTAGGGGAGGAGTGGGACCAGTTAAAAGCTCCCCATGCCAACCGATTCATCTTCTCCCACGACCTCTCCAATGGGGCCATGAATATGCTGGAGGTGTTTGTGTCTAGCCTGGAGGAGTTTCAGCCAGACCTGGTGGTCCTCTCTGGATTGCACATGATGGAGGGACAAAACAAGGAGCTTCAGAGGAAGAGAATCTTGGAGGTAACAGCACTGAGAACTCATACTCACTGTAGAATTCCTCAGCTCAGTCGTGTTTTTCTCCTGCCCCCCACCTCTCTCTCGTGCTGGAACGTGTACTGCCTGCCATAGATCCTGCCTTCCCAAGGCCGGGCAGTCTGCCCCCTTCTCTGGGAGACTCCTCGCTGTGTTCACCCAGCTGTGGACAGCAGCTTGAGCAGGACTTGGCGGAACCTCTGCATCCTCTGTTTAAACTGACCAGGGCTGCACGCTGCGGCATTCTGTAGTTTGTCTCCTTTGTGCTACCTGTATCGTCTCACTTCACGTCAGCAATGCTGAGCTTCCTACAGATTCACAACCTACAGAAGCTCCAGCTGCTCAGTGCAGGTCCCTGGGAAGAGTCTTGTAACAGGAACGCACAAGGGAAGTTCTTTGCCCTGAGTCCGTAAGCCCGGACTTCTGCAGGGCCTAGTGTAAGGCATAGTCTCCTTTGTCCACAGAGGCCAGTGGTGGCCCCCATTGCTTGGAGTTCTTGGTAGAATAAGAGAAGGCAGCTGCATTAGGGAGTCCATCCTTTCAGACCTGAGCCTTGCTCTCTTTATCTACCTTCTTTCAATAGCAGAGCTGTCCTCTTCTCTTTGCAGGTTGTCACTTCCATCTCTGACATCCCCACTGGTGTTCCTGTTCACCTCGAGCTGGCCAGTATGACCAACAGGGATCTCATGAACAACATTGTGCATCAGGTAACCACATGGGCAGGACGTGTTTTAGTCCTGACCCCATAAGACTTGCAGAGAAACTCCTGTGTGCATGGGGCCCAGCTGTGTGACATGTGGGTGTCCAGTCACTAAGACAAGGTCCACAAGGAGCCCAGGAAGGAGTCAAGACTATTTGGGAACAGAACATCATGCTGGGTTAGAAATATGGCCGTTTAACAGATGGTTTTATGGGTGCATTTTGTGGCTTTGTTCTGGAATAGAAAAGTTTGTTGTTACTGGGTTTTGCAGTAGAACTCAAAGGAGTAAATGCAAAGCTAAGTTCAGCTGCTGTCTGTTGAGCTTTAAGAAGCTAAAAGAAAAAGAAAAAAAAGGCTAAAAGAAAGGAAATGGGGGAGTTTCACTCCCTCGTTACCGAGATACCTACATGGCTTTGGACAGCAGCAGGGATTAGGATAAATGTAAGTCCCTGAGTTTAAGATGACGAGCTTTGAGACCTGGGCTGAAATGCCAGCTCTGCTACATGCTAGCTTTCTGATCACAGGCAGGTTGCATCACTTTTAATTTTATTAGTAAGTTTTTTAAATCAATTACATATTAGAACAGTTCAAAAAATCAAAACAAGTGTAAAAAGATGTCCAATGAAGTCTCCCCATGGAGGTCTTGTCCTCCCCTGCAGTAGCTATTTTTTTAGTAATTGCTTATTAATTATATGTTCATTCCTCAGAAGTCACTTTATACCTGTTCAATTCAGTGTGAAACTATTTACATATTTTTCCAACCCTTTTTACTGAAAAAGTGTAACATACAGATTACATTCCCTGTGTTTCAGTTTTGCCTTCATTTGTGTTCTTGCAATGTCTCCATCAGTACATGCGGAGCCTCCCTCCTTGTGGTTAAAATGTGTGCATGGATGTGCTTCCATTTCTTTAACCTGAGCGCTGCTGGCGGCCTTGTGGCTGATGGCTCTCTCTTACTATCACAGAAGACTGCACTGAGTTTCTTTTGTCCATAAGCGAGTACTGGCATATGGTAAATGCTCAGAAGTAGAACTGTTGTGTTGAAGTATAAAAGGCATTGGTAAGTTTGATGCTCCCAGATTACCCTCGGTGAGAATTGTGTCACTTGACTGTACAGTCAAAGTTGGCAAATGGTTATTTCCTTAGAGCCTTGGCCCCTGGACGTGCTTATAGGCAGTTCCCAGGTTACAAATGAGATCTGTTCCTGTGTCTTTAGGAATTTGTAAATATGGAGCGACAGGTATATACTGATCCTTACTCGGACTTCCTTTAGTGCAGCGTTAAGGAGCCCGGTGGCCTATGTGTTCTGTGTTGATCTGAAAGGTCAGCAGTTTGAATTCACCCTGATGGGGAGTCTCCTCCCCTAAAGATTGGAAGCCTGATGCAAGATCGTCATGAGTCAGAACTGACCTGGTGGCAGCGGGATTGGTTTTGGGGATGTGGGGCCTTATCAGGGATAGAAACCTGCACATGCGGCAAGTGCAGGTGGCTGTGGTAAAGAACTTAGCGCGAATAGCAGTTGGTTCAGTCATTTCAAAGTGAGTCCTTTGCGTAATCTTACATGCCAAGGAAGAGTTGCCCCACCAGTGTGTGTGCACAGCCTGGGGCCTGCCTGCAATAGCTCTTGCACTTTTGTCATGTCTGTCTGATCAGTAGAGGTTATATTGCATTTTTATTCTTATTTGTATTCCCCTTATTGAGGTTCCCCTCATCTTCCTACTTTCAATAGGAGCCATTTTATTCTCCTTTAAAAAAAAGAAATATCTGCTTAATCTTTTATGAGCCTCAATTCCCTTATCTGTAAAATCGGGTCAGTTCCACCCGTCCTTGAATACAGTAACGAATAGAGCCTTTAGTGCAGTGTCCGGCACAGGACAGTGACTGCAAGCTGCTCTTATATTTGCAAGGGTATAGGCCATTACTTGATTTATCCACACACATACATGCAAGGGTTCATCTGTCCTTCAGAAGGACCCTGCGTCTTTCCAAATGAGCCTTTGCTGATTCCGAGGAGGAATGTGTTAACAATGATAGTGGGTGGGCCTAGTGGTTTCTCCTCAGAGAGAACGCTAAACTCACTCGGCAGCCGTGGTTCCCGTTCCCTCTCCACACGCTGTTGTTGCTCACTGAGGCCCTAGGACAACTGCGGGGAAGCTCAGGTCCACTCTACAGCACCTTCTCCTTGATTCCTGGCAGTGTGTTCCTGGATCCCTTGTGACTTGACACTCTATTCTTGTACCTTCTCTGTTTCACTTAGGAACTCAAATTCTCCCATCAGAATTAAAAGTATCTGCTGTATATGCAAAGGCTAAAACGAGGCACCTTGGAAAGAAATAAAAAACATGCATGAGCCGCATACACTCCTGCCCTCTAACCATTGAGGGTTTTGCCTCATGTGTGTTACAATGGTGTGTATTGAAGGTCAAGGCAACATTAATGCCACTTTGCCTGAAGATGGAGATAGTGGAAGTGTGTTAACTGAGGCAGTGACCTGTGATCTCCACTTCCTCTCCACGGACTGTAGGCAGAAGTCTTACAGGAAGAACGAAAACCGCCTTCCTGCCTGCCTTCCATGGCATTTAGCCACTGGCAGTGCCCTGCAATGTCTTAGGAAGGAGATTATGTTCATCAAAAAGAGACCTGTTGTTTCCTTTTTGTTAGCAGGTCTTCCCTGTGGTGGCATCCCTTGGGCTGAATGAACAAGAGCTGTTATTTCTCAGCCAGTCAGCCTCGGGCCCGCACTCTTCTCTCTCTTCCTGGGATGGTGTTCCTGACGTGGGCATGGTTAGCGACATCCTCTTTTGGATCTTGAAAGAACACGGAAAGAGTCCGAGCAGAACATCAGACCTTACCAGGATCCACTTCCACACGCTAGTCTACCACATCTTGGCCACTGTCGATGGATACTGGGCCAACCAGCTGGCAGCAGTAGCCGCAGGAGCCCGTGTGGCAGGGACACAGGCCTGCGCGACAGAAGCCATAGATGCGAGCCGAGTGTCTCTGCGGGCACCCCTCGAGTTCACCACCTCCCATTCAGGGGCAGGCTCCAGGATCGTACTCAACCCTAATGAGCCCGTGGTAAAGTGGCACAGGGAAGGAATATCCTTCCACTTCACCCCAGTTCTGGTATGCAAAGATCCTGTTCGAACTGTGGGTCTAGGGGATGCCATTTCGGCCGAAGGACTCTTCTATTCAGAAGTCCACCCTCACTAGTAGCAAAAGCTGCTGTGGATCACTTTCCAAAGGCAGGAGACCTAGCCAACTGTAGAATTACAGCAAGAGAGGGGTTTGGAAACCAGGGTTGAGGGTGTCAGCACAGCTTCTAGATCTAAATGGAGGACAGCCAAAGAAACAACAGAAGATTAAACTGTACCAGATACATTCCAGCCTGTTGGCAATGACACATTTTGGATTTTAATCAAAAATTTGGTTACTGGCTAAAACAACTGGACTTTGGGGTTTGGGTTTTATTTTTTATGTTGAGTGTTACAGGGGTGAAAACTTGATTCCCAAGTCCCCCTTTATGCAATTTCATCAAGTATTTTAAGCCAAGTGTCCCAATCCGAGCATGTCAGCGGGGGAGAGTTCCCCTGTGTGGCCCCTGCGATGTGCATGTCGTGCCTCACCTCCCGCCGTCTCTGTAAAGCCTCTTGTGCAGTGACCGTGTTTCTTCTTGGCTCAGTGCTCCCAGCCAGCATCATGATTGCCATTCAGTGTTATAGGGAGAAGCGTAGAGCATTCCTGGACGGCCTCCTGCTCTCAGCCTCAGACAAGGACTGAGCTCCCTCACGCAGCGAGGGCAGGGGACCAGGGGCCCTTGGGGGAGTCCCTCGTTCAGCGACATCACAGCGCTGCAGTGGACACTGAGGGACTCCACCTTTCTCACCGGCTCCATTAGCCGCAGGCCTGGGCCTTCCTCATCCACCAGTTTGAAGACCAGTCTCCGTTCATTCTCACCCTCATGCTTTTACAACTGGAATCCACTTCTGTGCATTTAACCAATCATGTTGTTTTACATTTTTGTTGACACACCACACCCATTAAAGAGCCTCAGGATCGTGAATAAATTTGTCATGTCATGTATTTATTATTTTTATAAATCAGAGAGACTTCTTTGTGCTTTTAAATATATTAAAAACAGTTTACACTTCAGGAATCCTCAGTCTGGTTGTAATTGATTTTGTTTCCACCACCACGCTGGAGCAGATGAAGTATGTAAAGCTTCCTGATCTTGGCTTGTGACATGTTGCTGTATTCTTGCGGTGTCTCTTTATCTTGTCTTTCGCATCCTTGGTTGGGTGACACTGGCCTTCACACAGCATCTAAGCTGTAAACCTGTTTTCTGTGGAGCATTTAATGACAGAAGGTACCAGCTGATACAGGCAAGTTGTTCAAAAAGGGGAGTGTAAACATGGCAGCTGGTGGCGGGCCACTTAGTACCGTGCAAATCAGTCCACACAAGCCCGCTGCCAGTGCTTCTGGAATCCCACAGCTACCTCAGCTTCATTTATAACCTCCCTTCCCTTAACGTCCACAGGGAAAAGAAGAGCAGTCCCCTTCCATGTGATTTACAGCTTCTGAAAACCTGCATACGGGTCAGTTATGAGTCAGTTCCAACTCAACAGCGATGAGTTTGAATTGTTTCCCTTAAGGAAATGCTTCACTGCCCTTGATTCAGAGGAAAAGCCTTTAGAGAATGATGTCGTTTGAAATTCAAAGCAGTTAAGAAAATCTAGCTGCTACCACTTCCTTTCCTGCCTCCAAATTCAGTTAAGTCCCAACCCTCTAGCCGCCTGGGTCAGTTTTGGTTTTATATTATAAAGGCCGAAATGAGAAGCAATTTCTGTTTTCTCCAGAAGAGTGAGGGTGACTCCTCACACTCCAAGTGCCCCAAGCCCTGGTGTTCCCCGTGTGACCTTGTGGGATGGTCTGTCCCTGAGCTGTGCCTGCCCAGCCTTGGGAGGTTCTCAAGTTCTCTGCTCTCTCCCTGGTGATACTTGTGAAGGTGAGTGCAGGAAGTGACGTACCATAGAGGACGCTTTCAGATGATGGCTCTTAACCCCTAGTTAGCTCTGTCTATTCAAATCATGACCATTTTATTATTTATGACAGAATGAAGCATTGCCTGGCCCTGATTACCTCCCAATAATCAGCTTGTCCGAGTCCTGTGACGGCAGCCCTCGCACCAGTCGTTGAACTACGGGTTTCCCCATGTGCTTGGTCCTCTTCACCAAACAGTGCACGCCACCCCCTGAGATAGGCCCTTCCTGAAAACAAGCCAGGTGACAGTCGTCTGTGACCCAGGAGGTGTTCATAGCCTTTTAAGTAGATTAAGGCTTTATAAGTAGATTCCTAGGCTGCTCTCCCAGGCTCAATCTGGAACCTTTACCAAAAACCTGGTGAGCGTCATGGCAACAAGTAAACCTTCACTGACGCATGGGTGGTCCCTATGCATGAGGGATATTGACCAGGAATCAAATCCACATCTGCATGGAAAGGCAAACCATCAATTAACTACTAAGTCAATCTGGTTGCTACCACAAAACATAAAATGCATCAGACATTGTAAAGGTTAAGTATTTTGTAAAGTTTTATATCTGAATTAAGTATATGCCTCTGCAGACTCTTACCTTTCTGAAAAATAGTGGGGGAGGTTTCCAGCCTGCATCGCAGTTGACATTTGGTCACCGTAGATAGAGTATTGGGTGCAGTAATGTGGACGTTAGCAGCACAGCACCATCTGTGCTGATAGAATCCCATACACATCAGTAGCCCACCCAGATGTGTATCTTGGAAAAGTTAGGGCCAAATGCCAGGTAAGGAAGTAAGATCAAAAGGCTCTCACCTAGAACAGATGTGAGTGAGAAGGGCAGGTGAGCTTCAGGCTCTTCAACCTTTGCTTTCAACTATGTTTTGCAATTGTTAATAAAATTTTATTAAGAAGAAAAGCTTGAAAACCCACTGGCCTATAAAGGATGTCTGGAGAAGAATAGTGAAATCTTCCCAGCACACACTTTTGTATTCTTTTGGAGTTGCTTTAATACCCAGGGCAAAACAGTACAACACTCTGAGAAGGGTGGGATCTGGTCAATCAGTAACAGTTTTCCAGATGAATTCCGTTCCCATGTTACCCTCTTGACCAAGTTGAGTATGTTGGAGTAGCACATTCAGCAGAAATACAAACTATATGGTGGGATTTAGAGATGACAGATACGCTCTTGGACAAGTTACCCTTCCTGAGCTTCGTTTTCTTCATCTGTAAAGTCGGCCTGGGAATGGAACCTGCCCTCATGGGATTGTTGGGAATTACAGGCGAATGAATGCCAGTGTATGATACTTAGTACGGTCACTGGCACAGGTTAAAATGTCTAATTGTTGTCAGTTACGACTGAACTGAACAGGCCATTGCCTGGGCTCCTTTCTTCTCGGTAGGTGCTATCAAGTCAACTTCAGCTCACAGTAACCCACCAACAACAGATCAGCACCTGGCCCTTCCTGCGTCCTCCTCATCGTATCGGATGTACTTGAATCCATTGTTAGGGTCACATGTCAGTTCATCTTGTGAAGGATCTTCCTCTCTTTCCCTGACCCTCCACCTTTCCCAATATGATGTCTTTTTCCAAGAACTGGCCCATCCTCACAACACGCCCAAAGTCTGTGAGACCAGCTTTCACCATCCTTGCCTCTAAGGAGCATCCTGGTTACACTTCCTCCAAGACAGGTCTTTGGGCAGTCCTCAGAATATTCAGTAACCTTGTTCAGCACCACACTTTGAAGGCATCAGTTCTTTGGCCATCCTTAGTCATTGTTCATCTTTCAGACACAGCAGACAGGAAGCAGTTGACAAAACCATGGTTTGGATCAGGTAAACTTGAAACTGACTTTGAGCTGACTTTGAACTGGCGTCTTTGCTCACTAGCACTATGGCTCGGTCCTTGATGGGACATTTTCCCAATACAACATGTCTCTTCATTTCTTGATTGATGTTGCCATAGATGTTGATTGTGGATCCAAGTAAAATGAAGTCACAGACAACTTCAGTCTTGTCTCCATCTATGATGATGTTGCTTATTGGTCCATTGGTGAGGATTTTTATTTTCTTGATATTAAGGTATAATCCGTATTGAAGGCATTGATCTGCAACAGATGTTTTAAGTTGTCTTCACTTTCTGCAAGCAAGGTTGTTTCATCTCCCTAATGCAGTTAATGAGCCTTCTTCTAATCCTGATGCCACATTCTTCTTTATATACTTTAACTTCTAAAATTAACAGCCCCTGGATTAGTGGGGGAACCTCTTCTGACTGGGAGGCAGCCATTCCCTGGTCATCATTTCCAGCCAGGCCCACTAGCTTAGGCTCCTCTGAGGCCAGCAGAAACTCTGCTCCAGGCTGAGTGTTCCACCCGCTGACACACTCCAGACCAGAAGAGGTGTTACCCGTGACTTGGCTCATAGCTTGGAGCACCAGTCACCACTCAGAAGAGCAGAAACTAACCCATCTGGGCACCCTTCCAGTCATCTACTGGGCTGGCAGATATACTGTCCCAGACTAGAGAGTTTGTTCTCTGTTTCCCATATCATGCATGTTTGTTTTAGGATATTTGTATGCTAACTTGTTTTATAGTTTTCTCTTATGTGGACAATACTTATATGTTTGTTTGCTGTATTGAGGAGTTGGATGCCTTGTATGTTTCTGCTTATCTTACAGTTTGTATATGTGTGCTTGTTTATAGTTTCTTCTTGTGCGTACAACAATTGTCTGTCAGTTTGCTGTGCTGGGGTCACTTGCAGGACGTGCCGTGATGCTGCAAGTTGTGGCACCAGTATTTAAAACACCAGGTGGGTCACCATGGTGCCCAGGTTTCATTAGAGCTTTCTGCTCCTCTACAATTGTATTCTGAGTGCTTGGAGGAACAAGTAGGGGAGCTCCAGTGACCTCGTTAGAAAAGAACGGTGCTGACAATCCACAGGCGTGTGGTTTGAATTCACCAGTTACTCTGTGGAAGAAAGATGGGAAGTCTCCGCCTATACCTGCAGCCTCTGAAAACCTGCTGGAGGGTCAGCTGTGAGTCAGTTCTGAATCATTGGCAATGAGTTTGAAAGTTTTGGAGGGTTTTTTCCCCAGTCCAGCCTGAAGACCTCATGTTCCAGCACCTCCTCCGACAGTGTTCCACTGCTATTCGTAGGGTTCCCACTGCCCGGTCTTTTTTGAATT